TTTTTTTTTTTTTTTTTTTTTTTCCCCTACAGGGGGCCGGGGTCCCGGGTGCCGACCCCCGGAACCCCGGAACCCCGGCGGGGTCCCGGGGCCGGGGTTCGACAACCCTGCTTTCCAGGCACCGCTCTCGCCTTGTTCCCATATTGTGACTAAGCTACCTTCGTTCCTTTTTCTCGTTCGTCCTCGTCCCTATGCGCTTGCATAGTCTCGGATTGCCGCCGTTCCTTTTGTTGACTGCCTACTTGCCTCTGGTCGGCTTATTTCCTTTCGCTGATCACTCTCTTCTCAATCGTGTGCGGTACCGCCTCTCTCCCTTGACTTTGCTGTTGTTGTTGACAATTCTGATGCTGAATCTGGTCTGCCTCTTGTTGGAGATCTTGCCGGATTTGCTCTGTCTGCCCCTGCATCAGCGCTTGTGGATGTTGTCTCTCTTCCTCGGCCTGCCCTGCACCACCGTTTGTGGTTGTTGTCTCTCTTCCTCGGCCTGCAGGGTGCCGTTCTGCCTTTGAGGGAGAAGGGTCGCGTTTCCCACTTCCCTCACATCTCCCAGGCTATCCGTCCATGAGAAATTTTGCCACGATAATCTGGTCGAATTCTTTTTCAAAATGCGCCCACGCCTCGATCTCCGTGTGCTCGTCCTTGGGCAGTCCCGGATCGTTTCGGAGACGATGCTCTCGCTCTTTCATTTCCTCCCTTGTCTCCGCAGTTCTGAGGCATTTATTCACCCCTGCCAGGTGCCCGTGCCTATGGCAGATTTCACACCAGGGGGTCTCACTGGTGATGCATCTGATCTCCGGCTGGCCTTAGTAGGCCTGCGCGATGGAGAATCTTTCCAAGGCTTGGCTCTTCAACGGTGGATATAGCTCAAACCGGACGGACTCTCTATCTTCAGCGTCCGTCGCCCACTTCCCCTGCCTGTTCTTGACCGCGCCAAAGAAAGCCTCTGCGAATTGCCTGAGTGATAATACTGCCATCGGTGATGGTTGCATGAACTTGACCCAAGGGTTCGCCCTCTTCTCTTGTAGCTTCGTCCATTCGAGCTCCCTCGGAGTCATCCACGACTTAAAGCGGACGTAGTGCGTTCTATCTCCTACCACCACCTCCTCTCGCTGGCGTTCATGTATTAGCCAATTGCGCAATTCCACCATCGGTGCCCAATAGAATGCAGCTGTACTCGCTTCTATCGTCAGATGTCCCGCATGGCCCCCCTGCCCCTTCTGCAGCCAACTATCTATTTCCCAATTCCTTACCCACTCTCTTTTCATTCGAGGAGCGAAGTCTTTGAGGGGTCCATCAAAACATACAAGAATTACATGTGCTCGAAGGTATGTCACCTCTGCCTTCGCCATTTTTTCTCCCATCCATAACGTGCATTCACCATTCGCCTGTTTAGGGTAGCCCGTCGGGTCGTCTATAAACGTCCTAGTCAACGTTGCTTTGCGTACCCTCCTCACAAGCGGTTAACTGGGACCCCCACTTTTCGGCCCTGAGTAACCATGAATGATCCTGAAATTAGGGTTTCGTGGTTTCTCTACCCCTTCTCGCTAGACTGGTTTTCTCGAATCTCAGTCAGATCCCTTGCGGAGTCTGAGGAGTCCGTACTATCCGAGTAATACCCTATTCTGCCCGGGTCTCGCGGCCCTCTCGAGGAGGATGGTAAATCTTTCCTCTCGGTAGGTTCACTAAAGTACTGCCTCTCCCTATCCTGTCTCAGCAGTGGGTGGACCAGGGGATTTTTACCTTTAGACCGATCGTCAGACTTGGCCGGTGGTTTGCGTTCTACACGTTTGTCCCGTCTTCGGTGACGGCGCGTCGGTGCTCGAGGTAGAACTCCCGCAGGTGGCGCCGGCCGCGCAGTTTGGGTCGACGTCGGCGGCTGTGTCCTCCTAGACTGGGCAGGTGAGTCTTGTGAGGAGGGAGAGGAGGTTGGGTATTATCCCTCCCTCCACGTCGGATCAAAAGCTCTGAGCCACACCTCCTCCTGCTCTATTCTGTGTCTGAGCCAGACAATCTGGGCTTCCAATCTCCGCTGCTCCCGTTTAGTGAGCCATCTTGTCACCGCCGATGTGCAGATTTGTTGTATACCTCCTTGTCGGCCAATCTCCAACCATACAGCCACCGCAGCCAACCATTCTATACATCCACCAGCAGTTAGCATCTCCCACCATACCACCACCTTGTTTCCCACCCACAAGATTTGTCCACAGCATAAGTACGCTATGGTCCAAGTGAGTATCCACAATGCACATTTACCCACATCTATTATTACTATTCGCCATGCCTGTGTTATCGCTCTCCCGAGCAACCCCACCAGCCTTTGAATTCCTTCAGTTTGCCTTGCCAGCACCCATCCCAGGATTAGCAGGAAGACTCCCCAAATTCTCTCCTCATCCCCCATCCACCTCAGGTGTTTGTCAATTGTCGCCCTATTCACAAACGTTTCACCCCTCGCCAGCTATCGACTACAACTTCAGATTCCTCCCGCCACCTATTGCGGGGGGCAGTCAAATGTTGACCTAGGGTTTCCAGTCAACCCATCAGTCACTCTTCCTACAGTCAAATGCTCACCTAGGGTTTCCAGTCAATCCATCAATCGCTTTTGTTGCTGTACCCAGTCCGTTCTGCTAGGCATCCTGATGGTGCTTCGTCCACTGCTGTCTACATTGGAGTCTCTCCAGTCCGCGTCTGCCACTCGCTCTCCAGTCCGACTCGTCCCAAGTCCCCTCGTTCTCCGGGATAGCAGTTAATCCGCTGGCCTCCAGCCTCGCATCAGTTCATCCCGTGCTTCGATCTTCCCCTCCAGCCCCATCCAGCCTCGCACCCCTTCGTCTCGTACTTCGATCTTCCCCTCCAGCCCCACCCTTCTTCGTCTCGCCTACCTCCTCAGTCCGAGGTTGGACCGCTATTATCTGTTTGGATCTCTCCTGTCACCAATCTTTTAGTCCGCACGCTCTTCGAAGCAAAGTTTCCTCCAATCTACTTACATGCCATCGCGCGTTGACTCATTCTCTCCAAATGCGTGCCGTCTCGAGTCTACACATCCTCCGCGTCTTTCCGCGCCCATTCGCTCACCTCATGCT